GATTCGAATTTTCCTTTTTTTTTTTTTTTTTTTTTTTTTTCTATAGGTACATAATTCAGTAATTACAATTCAACGACCACAGAATAATAACTAGTAATCAACAATTGACAAAACAAAATATAATTTGAAATAAATTACAAAGGATAACAATCCAACATAAAATTAGACAAGCATACGGGACCAAATTTTCAGAAAGAGGGAGCCAACATGTACAACAAAAATATGCAGGGCACGTTACCATTGAACAAAATATGAGATACTGGCAGTATGGGAAGTAAAAGGGGTTCAAAACCAAGCATAAAAGTTCAACATAAACAGCTTTCAAACAAATACCTGAACATTCCCACTCATAATATCTCTCCACATCTTACCATTTTCCTGGGAGAACATTGTGATTCTCCTTGCTCTACGGATGCACTTCAAGGACAAATAAAATTTTAGAGAAAGGTTTTTCACTCACATACCAGGTAGAAGTACACATGCATGATATCATACATAACATGGTACCTTTGTGTTCTATCTTGCCTCACATGTGCTCCATTCCTTCCTCCTCCTCCTCGTATTCTCCTTCCTCATCAGCAGTAGCATCCTGGTATTGCTGATATTCAGACACAAGATCATTCATGTTGCTCTCAGCTTCTGTGAACTCCATTTCATCCATACCTTCACCAGTATACCAGTGCAAGAGAGCTTTTCTCCCAAACATGGCAGTGAACTGTTCACTCACTCTCCTGAACATTTCCTGGATGGAGGCTGAGTTCCCAATAAAAGTGGATGCCATTGAGAGCCCTCTTGGTGGAATGTCACAGACACTAGATTTAACATTGTTCGGAATCCACTCCACGAAGTAGGAAGAGTTCTTGTTTTGGACATTGATCATTTGCTCATCCACTTCCTAGGGACTCATGTTGCCCCTAAACATGGCAGAGCAGTGAGGTAGCGACCATGCCTTGGTTCTGCAGCACACATCGTATTCTTTGCATCCCACATTTGTTGGGTTAGTTCTGGGACAGTGAGGGCACGGTACTGCTGGGATCCACGGGAGGTCAGAGGAACAAACCCAACCATGAAAAAGTGGAGACGAGGGAATGGAATCAAGTCTACAGCAAGCTTCCGAAGGTCAGAGTTGAGTTGACCAGGGAACCTGAGGCAGCAGGTAACTCCATTCACGGTTGCAGAGATCATCATGATCTGAATGTTAAACCTAACAGCTGCTAATGCCAACCACAGTAATTTCTCCAGTAAGTTTACAATGAAAAGAAAAAAAAAATGCTGATGAATAATGCCATCAAATTTAAATTATATAGGAAATGAAGGTTAGAAATTAAGAATATGGAAAGATGGCCATACCTTGCAGATCTGGAATTACCATAGTCCATGATTTTGCTTCCGAAGGTGTTCTGCTGAGTTTCAGCTACTGGATTTGATTTGTAGGAACAAGAACGAGGAACAGAAGTGAACTGTCTGTAGATTTTGAAGCCATGAATTAAATGAAGTTGACTAAAGAAGAGCGGAAATGGTCTTCCATGGCTTCCCCTCCAGGAATCATGTGAGCAATTTCTTTATCAAATGCATCGTCTTTATAAAAACATATCTAATTTTTCCCCTTTTGAAGTCGGTAACAATTGAAGCATAAACATAATGTAAACCAGAGATTCAAAATCATATGGAATGCTGACAATGACATTGAACAAACAGATGAATCAGAAGCAAATTCAGAAAAAGACATAATATTACACTCGGAAAGAGAGAGAGAGAGAGAGAGAGAGAGAGAGAGAGAGAGAGAGAGAGAGAGAGAGAGAGAGAGCAAAACCTTTTGAGAGGAGGAGGGACGGAGGAGCAACTGGGCAAAGGAGAGGAAAACCCAGATCTGTGGCTTCCGTTTTCGCACAAGGGAGAGGAAAACCAAATCTGGGACAGTGACGCTTCGATGGCGCGCGGCGACGAGGATCCCTCTACGTAGTTGATGCACAGTTGTCGGCGGAGGATGACGCTTCTGCAGTGCTGGTCGGCAGCGAAAGAGGGATAATGGAGAGTCTGAATTGCAGACTTGCAGTGAGCTTGGATTCGGGAATTTGGAGGGAAAGGAGACGAAAGTGAGAGGAGATGCATCATTCCCTTTATTTAGATTATTACTTCACTAAGGTATTGTTTGGATTGGTGGTGTCGGATGGAGAGGGAGGGGAAGGGATGGGGACGGATGGCAAGGGAGGGAGAGTGAGGGGGGCTATCTTTTTCCTTCTATTTGGGTTTTCAAAGAGTCAGAGGGGGAGGGAGATGGACTGATTCGGATTTCTCCAACCACCCTCAAATCTGCAGATTTGCAATTCGTCTGATTTGGAGGGTTTGAGAGGGATTTGAGTGATTATTTAGATTAAATTAAATATAATTACAAAATTAACTTTAATTTTTTTATTATATCCTTTTCTATTACAAGTTTAAAGGATAAATTTTTAAATTTAAAATTAATTTAAATATTTCCCTTCCTCTCTTTCCTTTTACTTTAATTATCCAAATATAAAATAATACAATATTTTCCTTCCCTTCCCCTTCCTTATTTTTATTTATCCAAACAAAATTAACACAAATCATTTCCTTCTATTTTCTTTCCTTCCCTTTCTTTTCCTCCCCCTCCATGTCCTTTTATTTTCCTCCATTCCCCTCCCTTCCCTTCCCTTTACTATTTTCTATCCAAACAAGGGCTAAGGGAGGGAGGAAGATGCACAGCCTTCACTCATCTTATTTCATCTCCAAATTGAAGGGATTGTGGTAATTTGATCTGTATATTTAACTCTTTTTTTAATTTTTTTTAAAAATAAATATGCTAAAGGTCAACATTGTATACTAATACATTCATTATTTGTAATAATTTTATTGGTGAAATTTTTTGAGAAGTGTGTTTAACATAAAGAATAAGAGAATATTTATCTTTTAATATTAATTTATATAAAAAAAATTGAGCTTCATTTTATTAATTATTTAATTAAAATATTACATAAAACCTTAATATA